GATGCACAGGAACTGGACCCGTTCAGCTGTAACATCTATTCAACAGGGGCCTTGAGCTTTGAGTGGCTAACCAGCAGGCAGAGCTGAGCTGCTGCTCTTTTAACTTGTGGAGTACCCTCGCAAAATCTCAAGCGTCGATCCCTGCTGACTCCTGGCAGGAGTTTGCAGCATTAATCAAAGAGGGCAAAGGGGAGGTCTCAAGAACCTCTCTTCAAGCAGCTTTGGACTCATCAGACTCTGTAACCCACACTATGACAACTGCTGTTATCAACAGCTCATTGTTGCAGGTCTTGAGCATACTCCCAGAGACTATTCGGGGCCTGCCCATCAGCTGTTCTGGACTGGTTGCAGAGAACAGGAACTCCTGTTTGCGTAGCCTGAAGGTCTCAAGGTTGACTTTAAAATCCCTACGGATCCTTACAAATAGTCTGGTAGCACTTTAAAGACTAACAAAATATGTAGATGGTATCATGAGCTTTTGTGGGCACAGCCCACTTCTTCAGATGACCAGAGTGATGGATGTCCAGAACTAAGAGTCAAGTTTTGGATGGTCTCCCTAGCCACTATCATCCCCTTACTGGATCTGGGGGACAGGTACAGTGTCCTCAACTTGCAGGACACATACTTCCATATATCTATTATCTCAGTACACAGGAGGTTTCTCTGATATGTAGTTAGCTGTCACTATTATCAGTTCACCGTGCTCCTATTTGGACTCTTGACGAAATGCATGGTGGTTATACAGGTCTTCCTGTACCTGGACATCTGGCTCATCAAGTGCAACTCCCAAGAGCAAGTTCTAGCATACGTGGCGATGGTGAGGGCCATCTTCACAATTCTTGGACTTATTGTAAATGCTCCCAAGACCACCCTGGTCCCAAAAGATAGATTTCATTGAGGCCCTGTTGAATTCCACAAAGGCAAGAACACTCCTGCCTGAGAACCTGTTCAAAGCCACCAGGTGTAGAAGAAAAAAAGAGACTGAAACATGGGCCTGGCACTAAAACCAAAGTAAGCAGGAGTTATACTATGAGTAATAGACAGGCCTTGTCAAAAGCAAATGTTTTCCTGCAACTCAGTGTCTCTTGGCACTAGAACTGCTAGCACTGATAAAAGCACATGAAGTATGTAAATACATTCCATTAGGACAGTACAAGGACAAGCAGCTGAGTACATGATAAGATAGTTTGCGACAACAAAAGTGGAAAAAATAACGGGTAGTGAATGCTTTGGAGGAAAGTACAAGGGGAGGTACCAAACATGTCATTAATGCGTAAGATGATCTGTACAGTGTGTATCATAGATTGTTCATTTCTGTCTATAAATATTGGGGTACCTTGACTCAATTCTTTGGTCGGCCTAGGGGACGATAGTGAAATCCATAACAACATTGATTGAGCCGCATCCATTGTCCCGGGTACAAATACATAGGGGCTTGGCAGCCATCTGGCTTCTGACAACTATTAATGTACTTCTTTCAACAATAAACCTGACTCGGTATTTTATCTGATTCTGTGGTCTATGGGGGCTTCCGTGAAGTCTGTTGTGCTAGCTATATATTGAGGGAGCATACAAAAACATATGAATAGATCAAAATAATTTTTGTTTATCCTAAAAAGCGAAAATGAGATACTCTGGTAGACTGTGTTGAAGTCAGGCCTCCATATACAGGCAGTCCCTGACTTACGCGGATCCGACTTATGTCGGATCCGTGCTTACGAATGGGGCTTTCTCGCCCCAGAGCTCACAGGCAGTGGTCCCGCCTCCTTGACCTCCGGGGCGAGAAAAGCTGCTCCCGGTGCCCCTGATCTGATGGGGACCGTCTCCAGCAGACCAGAGGCACCGGGAGCAAAGCCGCAGCCGCGGCGGGTTCCCGCGCTTCTGAGGCTTTGCTCTGCTGCCGCTGCGGCTTTGCTCCCCGTGTCCCTGGTCTGCTGGGAGGAGAGTGGGGGCGCAGCTAGTGTGCCCCCACCCCTCAGACCAGGCTTTTGTTGTGGACCCTGTGGCAGAGCAGCTGGGGTGCTGCCGGTTGGTCCCGCAGCGTCGCTCTGGGCACTACTGGAGCAACCCGGCAGCACCCCAGCTGCTCTGCCCCAGGCGTCCCCAAGTCAGCCGCTGCTGAAACTGACCAGCGCCGACTACAGGAAGCCTGGGGCAGAGCAACTCTACCTCGGGCTTCCTGTAGTCAGCCGCTGGGCAGCTTCGTGGGGTTCTTAAGTTGAATCTGTATGTAAGTCAGAACTGGCGGTCAGTTTCAGCAGCGGCTGAATCTGGACGCCAGTTCTGACTTACATGCAGATTCAACTTAAGAACAAACCTACAGTCCCTATCTTGTACGTAACCCGGGGACTGCCTGTAATATCACTGTAAGTACTCTGAGCCTCAGGTGGACTTATACAGGGTTGGCTAGCCTGTGCTGAAGCCAGTGCCACTGCATTTTCAGTATTGTTACTACCCTTGCTAGCTAAATTAAAGCTAATGCGGGTATGACTGCCTACACCCTGGTTACACCTTAATTTATGGTGAAGACATGCCCCTTTAGTGGTGATTAAACCGCTGTAGCTCCTTTTGATTTCAGTTTGGGTTGTAGGTGCGCAGCAGTTCTGCAGATCAGGACCTAATGCTCTTACATCCAATTATATTTTGAACAAATATATTGTTAATTATTATTTTTAATGGAAGCGTTCATTGAATTATCAAATACCCTAGGTTACCATCGCAAATAATTTGTAAGAGTGGCTAGGGCATGTGTTCTGAATGGATCATAAGAGACTATCGATAGTGGCTGTCAGTTGGATACCAGGAAATCCAACATGAAAGAGGGGTAGACCTAGGATGACTTGGAAGTGTAATGACATAGGAAAATTCAATTTGAAATGGGAGGATTTAGGTCACGTGGCAGCTGATAAGCAAGCATGGAGAATGTGGATAGCCCAATGTGCTGACAAGCATGGGATGAACTATGGTCTAAGGTAAGATCTAGGTCAGGGCTACTCAACTTTGGAAGCCCCGGGGGGGGGCACAATGATACTCACAGCACATGCAGGGGACCGCAACTTAAGTGTGGTTACATATACATGCAAATATATATACAAATAGCTTCTTTCACACTGACATTGGGTTTTTTTAAATTAGAGCATGAATACAAAGCACTTCCCACAATATCCTGGCGCTCCCGGCACATCCTCCCAGGGGGCTAAAAATGCTGAAACCGTGTACCAGTCTGTTCCAGACAGCCCGTCTGCTTGCGTCTTTCAGTGCTCACCCCGCTTGGGAGATGCTTCGCTGTTGTGGAGCATGTTCCCAGTGGAGGCCATGTTCAAAAGATCCCACCTGCAGGCTGCATGTTGAGCCCTGCGTACACCCAAACCGCACGGCTGCATGCTGTGTTAAGTAGCTCTGATCTAGGTTATCAGGTGTTTTTTCTAGTTTTTGCAGTATGAGGAAGTATTGGAACTTATTTGTATTTGTTTTCCTTGAAATAAAATGATCTAGGTTAAATTAAGCATTATTTAATAGTACATGTAATTGGTTCCAAATGAGATGAATCCTGTAAACCTGCAGCATTAAAAAGTGTGCCTGTGAGTTCAGTAAATCTCACATTAAAATGTTGTTGCAGTTGGTAAGATGTAGTTCTGAAATATTTTAAAACAACAGCAACATTCATTTAGAAAATTTTATGAAATTAAACTTGGCAAAAGAGGGATTGTAGTTGGTCACTAGAAAGTTTCATTTCATATGCATAGATCTTAAGGCCAAAAGGGACCATTCTGATGATCTAATCCAGGGATTCTCAAACTTCATAGCACCATGAGCCCTTCTGACAACAAAAATTGTTACACAAATCCCAGAGGTGGACAAAAACCTAAATCAAAGCCTGATCCCTGCTGTCCCTGATGTGGGGCCAAAGCCCAAGGGCTTCAGCCCAAGCAGGAAGTCTGTAACCTGAGCCCCACACTCAGGCCTACGACCCTCAGGCTTTGGGTGCTTTTATTTTTTATGTTTTATTTTATGATGGAGATTGCCGATCTCCTAGAACTGGAAGGGACCTTGAAAGGTCATCGAGTCCAGTCCCCTGCCTTCACAGCAGGACCAAGTACCACCCTGATGAATTTTTGCCCCAAAACCCTAAATGGCCTCCACAAGGATTGAACTCACAAGCCTGGGTTTAGCAGGCCAATGCTCAAACCACTGAGCTTTGGCTTTAGCTGTGGCTTTGGGCCCCTGTAAATCTAAACCCATTCTGATGCCATTAAAATGGGAACATGACCTACTTTAGGGTCCCGATCCACAGTTTGAGAACTAGTTGTCTAGTCATACCTCTAGTATAATGCAAGCATAGAGTTTCTCCTACAGTTTGGACCTCCCTGATCCAGCACCCTTGGGACCTGACTGGTCCTGGATGAGGGATTTTGCTGGACCAGAGGAGGTCATTTCAGACCCTTCCTGCTGCCAGACCCAGCCCCTAACCAGCCCTGCCGCACGCCAGCCTTCCTGGCTCCCTCTACCCCCGGCAGCCCATCTGAGCTGCGCACTGGGCTCCCCCTCCCCTGCAGCACAGCAGGATTCCTTCTTCCCCCGCAGTGTGATGGGACTCTCTGATCCTAGAACATCCGTGGTTGCCAGACCAGAGAATCCAGGTTTATAGTGGTGCAACTTCTAGTAGTAGTATAATGTCATTTCATGTTACAATCTTGACGACTACAAATTATATTTAGATATAGTTTTCTCTGCTGAGCAATTCTAGAAATGTATCCGTTAACAATTCAGTTACTACATCAAAGAATGGCTATCTCTGCTAGTATTGTGACAGGACAGCTCAGCAAAGAAAAAAAATATTAGTTTGCTTTTGGTATAATTCATCAGTGCCCCCACATGCTGTCATTCAGTTACTTAACTAATCCATTAAAATAGTTCTCTATAGGTAATCAGAATTTGAAACTTGTTCTAAAAGTTACCTCTGTTCTAATGAAGTTTTGCATGTATTTTTATGCACACAGTGTCTGAAACAGAGAGTGCAAAAGGGAGTGGTGACTGTCTTCCCAAGCTAAATTATCAAAATTCAAGTAGCACTTCATGTCAACTAGCAAAAACTGCTTCTAACATAGTACGACTCAATGGTACCATTGACAATGCTGACAGCACAGTTGAGGAAGTCCGCACTGGTGAGTTAATAGTTCATTATACTTCACCTTTTTATTAAATGATTGGGGGGTTTTTAATCAGAGCAAAACTTGCATTATTTGTTGTGAAGCTGTTTCTCTGCTAGGTTTTAGTTCTTATGTGCACTAATGTGGTGATAGGGAGAAAAGTATTAGAACTTAAACAATTTTCTTTTCTCTGGGTCAGCTTTTTATGTATATTTGACTGATTTTTAGTTTCCTCCCCTCTCCCCTTAACCACCAAAGTTGCTGGCTGCTAATGCAGTAACTGACTTGTACATAATTATATACTGTTCTTCAAGGCCATCATACTTTGGGCTTGGACCATGAGAGTCTTTGTTTTGTCTACACATCACCAATGTTACTGTCATGACACGTGTTCCTCATTAGTTTGAAAAATAAAAGTGCTGGAGTTGTACCTGAACTCTTGTCCTTAACCACCAAAGTTGCTGGCTGCTAATGCAGTAACTGACTTGTACATAATTATATACTGTTCTTCAAGGCCATCATACTTTGGGCTTGGACCATGAGAGTCTTTGTTTTGTCTACACATCACCAATGTTACTGTCATGACACGTGTTCCTCATTAGTTTGAAAAATAAAAGTGCTGGAGTTGTACCTGAACTCTTGTCCT